AATTGTGCCTGTTTCATTATTATTTATTATTATTATTATTATTATTATTTTCCTAAAATGAAGCAACGCAGGCAATTTGGATAATTATGAATTGCAAAATAAAAGATGAGGCAGTTAAGAAAAAATAAATTGATTACCAGATATTAATTTATTTGTTTTCATTTCATATAACTTATATTTTGTATAAAAAATAGAGGGTGTACTAAATTTTTAAAGGACAAAAAGATAAAAGAAATGTACTAATTAAAACTTTTTACGCACAATTTTAGAGGAATTATTTATTTATTTAATTTAATTTATTATAATTTATTTTTTCTTATTTCATAGCAAATATAAATTAAATTATATGGTTCTACACGAACTCGAATATAAAGCATTTAGGTAAACAAGCAAATCTCTCTCTCTGTCTCGTTCTCATATAAAAAAAATTGTATTTACTATAAAAGTAAAAATTTCTGCCAAAAAAATTATTAGTTAATACAGAAGTATCTTTAAAAATTATTTTCTTAATTTTTTTCTATTTTCTTTTGATAAATTTTTCTTTACCAACCATGGTGAGACTTTATTTCATTTTAGGTAATGTAATGTCAATAATTGATATGAATCTAATAATTATTTTTTTAAAAAAAATTGATTAATTGTTCTACCTAATCTATTATTACTATTTTTAGTGATCTGATACCAGTAACTATTTTTATGGGATAATTATTTCTAATGTATTAATAAGTTTATTTGTTAATATTGCATATATAAACTAAACTTAAATTATTATTTAATATTGATTTAAAAAAAAAAAAAAATAGTCTAAAGCTCTTCACACAATAAAATATAAATGTACGCGCAATAAAATATATTTAATACAACAAACAATTTACATCCATGGATAACAACAAACAAAAAGTTCAAGTCTTCATTACAAGAACATCACCTTCATTACAAGAGCATCATAAAAATATGACGGCAGGCCTGCTAATTAAGTGCTCTTTTATTTATTTATTTATTTATTTATTTTTCTTTTTTCTCTCTCGAAAATACAAATACAACGTATAAATATATAAGTAGCTCCGTGGTGGAATCTTGAACTCACTGCACCCTGCAAAGAAATACGATTACAATGCGACACAATTAGAAAATTCGGTTAAAGAGAGAAAACGACACAATATGCATAACACTATACGAAAAATACAAAATAAAAAATTTAGATAAATCTAGACTTATTATTATCACAAAAACACGATATATAATATACAAAAGCACGATTTTAATTACTTTGCACAATCGGTGGAAGGGCTGATCTCGTAAGGCACGTCGACTCCACACTGTGAAGGGAGACTTGCGGCCTTGTCGAGGTCAACATTAGATGCCATTGACTTCAAGCACTTGCACACGTCTTGCCTGTCGGCACTTGTGCCGGCAGCCGAATAAAGCCCTTTAACCCCACCACAACAATTCCCAATTGGGCCCTGGCCCATCACGTAAGGGATGCATGGGCTCAAGTACTGGGCCACTTGCGTGCAACCCAATGCATCCACCGAGACAGCCGAAGAGACCACCGCCAAAATGCACACGACCGCCTTCAAAATCTTGAATATTCCGGCCATCTTTTTTTGATTGGCTAACCTTTTTTTTGTTTTTTTTTGTTTTTTTAGGTTGATGCTAAGTGTTTTGTGCTTGTTTCTTGCTCTAAAGTGTGTGTGGAGATTCATGTGTTTATATAGACAATGAATTGATGAGCTATGAGTAGTGTTAGTAGTTTATTTTATTGCACCATTTATTGGTGTTGGTATACTAACATTGTTAGTAGATACAACTAGAAGATACTAGTCACGATGGATTGTAGTTGTAGTTGGAAGTTGGAATAGTTAATTAATTAATTATGTTAATTAATTAGTTNTATAAAATATAAATATAAGTACTACATTTTATAATATAACTACTCGTTTTTATTAAAAAAAAGTATAGCACCGTTTAACAACTAGGTTGCCTTAGGGCATCTGCATTCGTTTAATGTTTTTTATATTCATTCAATCAAAAAGTTACACTCCCTCTCATCCACATCATATTTTCACTAATTCTCTCTTCATTTAAACACACACCCACATCCCTACACATTCATTTAAATACAAATATGAGACCCATTATATCCCTTCATTCAATATAAATTTTAATATTCTATCCTCAATAAAAATAAAAATTTAATATTTTTAAATTATAATAATAAATTTTAAATGCATGAAAATAAAAGAACACTACAAGATCAAAATACCTTAAATTAATATTACACAAGAAAAAACAGTACAATTACAAAAATGAAGTGTATTTATAGACAAAAAAATGAGGATAAAAAAAAATAAAAAAAATTAAAAAAAGAGCTGCAGAAAATAAAAATAAAAAAAACAAGCTGCAGAAAAAAAAAATTAAAAAAGCTCAAAAGAGCCGTTCAAACATGTTAACAATAACAATGGGACCACTAATTAATGAATGGATGCATTGGTTTAATGGGGGACATTGCATTTAAACGGGCCCATTAAATGCACCAATGCAAATGCCCTTAGTCATCCTAACAGAAGACTCATGCCTAATTTTATATGATTTTATTTGATTGTATCATTTGTCAGCGGTCTAACCATTAGACTAGTCGATCTGCAATACTTTGTAAATAAAAATGTCTATTTATACTATCAAATCTCATACTATGTATATGTTGTTTTTTAAACTATGTCGTTTTCAAATGAAAATATGTACAAAGGTGGAAAGTACGATTAATTAGTCAGCCTAACATAAGACACATGCCTAATTTTGTACGATTTTGTTTGTAAAAATTTGCGAGGGGTTTAATCGTTAGGCTAGTCGATTTGCAATACTTTGTAAATAAAAATGTCTATGTTATACTATCAAATCTAATCCCATACTATTTGAGTGTTTGTTTTTTAAATTATGTCATTTACAAATGAAAATATGTACATAAGACGAAAGTATGATTAATTAGCCGGCCTAACAAAAGAAGCCATGCCTAATTTTGTATGATTTTATTTGATTGTATGCGTAATCGATAGACTAGTCTTTCCGCAATACTTTGTATAAAAATGTCATTTATACTATCAACTGTATGATCTTTATCAAACATTACCATCTATTGTTCGGCTTGTCGTTCACAATATTGGCTTTAACAATCGAATCTCGATCAGACCATTTCCATTTTAACGATGCAAAAAGCTGTAAAATAGAGAACAGCAATGGAGTCGAAGGCCTAGTTGAGCCCCCTGAGTTTTCAACAGTGCATTCTCAAGCTTTTCAAGGCAAAATGATCCATTTGAATCTGCCAGAAGAGAGATTACAGATTTTACATTATCAAAGGATTATATTCACGAAGCAACTCGTATCTAAACAAGAAAAGAAAAAAAGTTCATATGGATCTTAGTTGCACATTTTTATTTACCTCATACTATTGTGTGGTCTCCACAAGCACCAAAGACTTGGTCTAAACGTCTGAAAATGTCTCGAGAACAAACTATTCTTCCTGTCGGCAAATTGACACAAGAAAAATAAGCTGCCAGAAGAAACCCGAAAAAGTTTCTCCAAAAATTACATGTCTCTATATAGATCTCTGACAATATATAATGTGCACAAACAATTATGTAGTATCTCTCCTACCTCCAGAATTTAAGACGCTTTTCACAAATTTATACGCAAAACCCTTTATAGTTCGATTTTCCTTCAACGCAACATAAGCGCCCTCTCTAAATCCTCAGACCCTGCAATTCAAGACAATGCATCAACATGATTTTGTTGTGATTTGGTTCCAACAGAGAGCAACTTGAGCAGTATAGTATCCTAGCTATATATAAACACAGATTCACATTAACTGTCATGCTTCGTTGCAAAAATAAAAAATAAAAATAAAGAATAAATAAAAAAAATTGTTTCAATGTGGGAACCAATTTTCATTAGATCAAAGTCATAAAGACTTCAAATTTGATCCCACAAAACCTCAGTTATATTCAATTGCTCGGAAAACAGAACACCCACCTTTTCAGCATTTACAGACCAATAATGACATATATCTTATCAAGAATAAGTTAGCATCAACTAATGCAAGCAAGAAGATCACTCAACAAAATCAAGCAAGATATACGCATACCCACAAAATCAGTCGTGTGTATACACAATCAGAAGAACAGTTCACCCCAGCACTTATGAATAGCTGCTAAAACTCTCTTCGGTTTGCAGATATCTCGAACAACTTTATCCCAAGTCGTGGCTTTCGGGTGAAGAAAAGACTGAAGCATCACTTCTATCACATTGCATGCCCCAACTATTCTTTCTCTTCTGTGAAGCCTTAGTATTAGCTCGTCAAGAAACTCTCCACTATCAAAAAACGAGTCATTCCTCTCTCTCAAACCCGTCAGCAAAATCTTGCACGTAACCGAGTCCGGATCACACCCTCGATTTAACATGCTATTCAGAAGATCAATAGCATGAGAAATATTACCCTTTCTGCACAAAGCATTAAGAAGTATATTATATGTGATTACATCAGGCTTGCAATTAGGTTCTTTACAAAGCATCTCGTTGAATAAATTAAAACCCTGTTTTATATGTCCTGCACAGCAAAGCCCATCGATCATTGAACTATAAGCCACAACATCCGGTTTTAACCCTTTGGCCAGAAAATGCTTCCACACCATAAGAGCATCTTTCAACTTCCCGTTTTTGCACAAGCCTTGAATGAGCACACTATAACAGAACTCGTTATCCATGTAACCCTTCTTCTCGATCATCCCTCTCCATAAATGAATCGCCTTTTCACTTTCCCCAATTTCAAAGAAGCCCCTCATCAGAGAACTGTACGTGAAGACATTTGGCGAGCAACCTTTATCGAGCATCTGTAATGAGTACTCTTCCGCTTCATAAGGCTTCCCTATTCTACACAAACCATCGATAAGAGCACTGTAAACAACAACATTGGGCCCACCACGCCCCTTTTTTTCCATAATCTTCCGGAACAATTCAAGCCCTTCTTCCGATTTTCCCTCCCTAAACAACCCACTAATAAGTGCCGAGTACGCGTGTACATTCTCTCTGAACCCCTTTTCTTCAATTTTCACCAAAACGTGCATGCCTTCAATCGATCTTCCCCGTTTAACAAGCCCGTTGATTATAGTCCCGTAAGTAACATCATTCGGGACGAGGTTATTCGAAAGCATTCGGCTCAAAAGGCTGAGCGCATTGTCGATCTTGCCCTTGAGGCACAAACCGTGCACGAGCGTGTTGTACGTGACTTCATTCGGGCTGCAACCTTTCAAGAACATATTATCGACCATTTTAGCAGCTCGGGCCAAATCGCCCATTTTGCAAAGCCCAGCAATCAACACGTTAAACGATTCTGCACCCGGGCAGCATCCTTGTATCTGCATTTCGTCAAACAAAGCCACGGCCTCTTCTATTCTTCTTTCCTTACACAAACCGTCCATTATTGTGCAGTACGTGTAAGCATCAGGCTCGCAACCCAATGGAGGCATATCCCTCAATAAATCCACAGCCCGATTCACCAATCCCAGCCTACAGAGGGCTTTGATCACTAAATTAAACGTAAGCACGTTAGGCAAGATGTTCTTCTTACTGCTAGCAACACTATCGTAAAACTCCAGAGCACGTCGGTACTCGCCTACCTGAATAATCACATTAAGAACGGAGTTCAAGGACTTTACAGTCTGCTTGCAGCCAAACTCGTCCACCATTCGATGGAAAAGCTCGACGGCCTTACCGGGCAAGCGGGCTTTCCCGCAGGCCCTGAAGACCAAGATGAAGTTTTTCTCGACGAAGGATCTTCTCTCTCGCTTCATCCGCTGAAAAACCGTCTCCAGGGCCTCGAAATCCGCGGACCCCGCGTGGTGCTCGATGAGGGCGTAAAATGTGGGGTCGCCGCGCTTGTAGGTGCCCGATTGTCGAGCGCCGGCGAATAACCTATCGGAAATTGGGGGGGCTCGAGAGTCTCGGGCACCGGGAAATTGGGAATCGGAATTTGGATTGGAAAGGAGCTGAGGAGAGGGCTTGGAGGAGAATAGGTGGGAAGAGTGAGAGCTCATGGGTATGGGAAAGAGCTTCAGAGTTCGGAGCTTTACCTTATTACAGCAGGCGGCGGCGGGCATCCCTCTTCGAATCTGACGGTTGCCCCCGACCAAGAGTGAGCTCAAAACATTTCCCTTTGGTACGGAGATTTGAACGAGCTTCGTCTTCCGCTTTGGTGTAAGTGTGAGTTGGGTATACACTACAGCAAGCGCAAAAACTCGGTAGACAGGAGGAAAAGGAAAAGGAAGAAGAAGAACCAAATTTTGGGCTGGGCCTACGTCTACTGGGCTAAGTTATTATCTGTTTGCGGAGTCTCACTCTCATTGAAGATGAGAAGGTTGGATGAACATTCAACTGATAAATGAAATGAGCCGCTAAATGAAACATGAGCTCGGCTCGGTTCATTAAGGCTGAAAGAATAAATTTTATATAATTTTTTTAGTTTGGCTCGTTAAGATACAAGTTTGTTAATATTGATAAATGAGTCGAGTTCGACTGCTGATTCATAAAATTTAATGAGCCAAATCGAGCTCGGCTCATAAAAGGCTCGAGCACCATTTTTGAGCTCGGCACATTTACACCCTTAGTTCCAGGCAGCAATGAGATAATTGTTGTTCAGTCTCAGTCTCGCCCATATGGGTTGGTATGTTTAGTCGACTCTCATAAGTCGTTTATCGTATGGTTGTTTTAGATTCGTTACATATGTATGATAAAATTGACTAATTGGTCCTTGATTCATTGAAAAATTATAAATTGAATGAGAAATACACGTCGAGTTCAAACTCGAAAAGATGAATGTTTATATAATTTTTTTTAGTTCGACTTGTTAAAGATCGAGTTTATTTTGTTAAGGCTCGAGCTCGACTCGTTAATATTGATAAATAAGTTGAACTCGAACTCGATTATTGGTTCATTAAATTAACGAGCCAAATCGAGATCTCAAGAAAGTCTTTTATGGCCGTTTTAGATTTTCGTGAAGTATACATGATAAATTTAACTAATTTGTCCTCGATCAATTGAAAATTTTAAAATTGACAAAAAATTACACGTCATATCTGCAGGCCGAATTCTCGTGTGGGGCTCGTTTTTGAACGAGTGCTTGCGAAAGTGGTAAGAGTTGGTTTTGGTGTTGGCAAGTAGATATGGCCAAAAACCGGTTCCGACCGGTTCCAAGTTGGAATCGTCGGTTCTCCATGCAATGTTTAGTTGAATGGAAGTGGCATTGCCAGTTCGGAATCGGGCTGGCGATTCTAGCCCGAAAGCCTGAATCGGAAAATTTAAAAATAAAAAACAAATAATAATAAAAATTCAAAGAAAACAATAAAATTTAAATTAGACTTTTGGTGTCGAACTGAAATCGACGGTTCAATTTTTCTTAAAAGATGAGCCGGAACCAACCTGGACCAAACGCCAGTCCATGCACCTTGGTCAACGGTCCAGGCAAGTTCCGAACAGTGGTCATGAATAGTGGGTTTTTGGGACAAACCACCTTCTCCAATGTCCCATTTGTTTTATTTTTGTCCCTTTCCTTGTGTGTTTTGCGGTGGGTAGTTTGGGAAGTATATGTGCGTATAGCCTAAAGATATCTATCGTGTATGGTTGTGCCAATCGATTTGGCCGGAGGGCTTGGAAGTTGTTGTTCGGCGCTAAGCTGATAATGAACAGGTTTTAGCTTATACTCAACAAATCTCTTATAATATAATGAACTTTTACAAAATTATTTTTTCTTCTATCCGAAAATTTAATTTGAACAGCTACATACCAAATAATATAATTGGAGATTATAGCTAATTATACCTCTAATTTAATACCAAAAGTAACCCTTCATTCAACATCAATCCTATAATTTAACCCCAAAACTCCAATTACAAATCAATTGTTAATCAATAAAATACCTTGGCCAAGAAAATCCCGTGCAAAACCCACACATCCTCTCATCGCCAAAGCCTTGAGGTACGTCTCATATTAAAGAGTACCAGATAAAAAAAAATGTAGTAAAAAACTGGACTGAAAAAAAAAAGTATTATAAATCTGGAATACACATGCATCATCTAGCCAAACTGCTTCTAAAATCTCACAGGACAGCAATTTGCGCTTGCCCAACACCAAGTAAAAGCGCACTACTTTTTACGTTTTACCCATATCAAATCCTAGTAAGATTTAGCCACATCCATCCCCTCCCAATACCGATCTTCGCCTTACCTACTTGTTTTTTTCTTTTTTTTTTCACTTGGCCAATTAGGTTAGACTCAATGCACAGTGATTAGAACCCAAAAACAAGCAAAACCAAACAACAAATATAACTCAAAAATTGCAACAACAAATAAAACTCAAAAAAACTTGTTCATCCACCATTAACTATCAAACCAAAACAAGGATCACAACATCAACTGATAACAAAAAGAGAAGCAAAGTCATGCTCACATCAACTACTCCAAAATAGTGTCACAAAAGGCAACGAATATTATAGTAATGACAGACCAAACAAAGCACTCTTCCATTACATTACCAAGATAACTCGAGCAGATCAACGCAACCTTCTGGCCTCTCTTTCAGACTCCATCAAGGTAAGAACATCACCCTCCCTCACGGGTCCCTTCACATTCCTCATGATAAATCGGTTTTGGTCATCGATAAATTTGACCCTAACTTGCGTGACCTGGCCACGAGACCCAGTTCGCCCGATAACCTTCACCACAATAGCATGCTTGATCTGTGAATCCATCTGCTAGGATACATAACGATTTTTCAATCGATAATCTTGCAAATTTGAACCGCAGAAAGGACACAGGCAATCACTTTTCACATACTCATCACTAATTATGAGGTTATCCATACATATATGCTCTAAGTTTGAAAATACCATAAGGTTGAAAATATCATAAAAATAAATAAAAAATGAATCCCTAAATTAGAAAAAAAATCGATAATCTTGCAAATTTGAACCGCAGAGAGGACAAAGGTAATCATTTTTCACATGCCCATCACTAATTATGTTGTTATCCATACAGATATTAAGAAATTAACCAAGAAAGTAAACATGGGTTCTTCAGAATAAACATATAGTGAAGACTAGCATTAGAACTGTACATAAAAACAGTCCATACTCCTCCATACCCTCCTCGTATAGCAGAAGAACAATATTATTCGAAATGAACAGATTAAACTTGATATTCAAGCAGGCAACATCACAATTTTGATCATCGCGAATGAAATACACAAGAAATCCCGAATCTAGCTAACAAGGTACCTTTCGAACAAATAAAAAATCGAACGAATAGAACAATTAACTGGCAACACAGGTTGTTTGTTTGCATAAAGCAATTAAAAATACAGGAGGAATGAGATTTAAGAAAGACCTGCACTCGATCGAAACAAAGGGAGAGGATGACGGCGGACTGAAGGTGTTCGATGAAAGGCAGATAAAACCCTAGAAGAGATGGATCGGTCAGTGAGAACCGTTTTATAAAGGGACTTGAATAAATTATCAATTAACTTAGAGCATGTTTGTTAGGCAAGACGGGATTACATAATTTTAATCTTTGGTCACAAGATTGGGATGTAGAGATAAATAGGATCGCATGTTTGTTACTTGTGATTTAACCAAGACGAGACTATTCTTATATCCTGTATTGTGTGTTTGTTGTCCTAGATGGTAAACCTAATTAGTAGCAAATTTACATATTTGACCCTCAACTTATTTTGCATCATTTCAATAATGTGTACACGTGTAATTGTCATTTTTCTTTTTTGCTTTTTTTTTTTGTTCCGCATGAGAAGGGGTACTAATTTTTATTTTTTCCGTTTTCTTTACTGCTCTTTGCTAAAATGGTTCTATTTTATTTGTAGGACTTCTACAATATTTTTACCCCACACTGCAGTATGTAATCTTTAGTTAATATGTTTTTTAGCACCTTTTCTTTTATCAAAGTTTTTAACAACACCATTTCGTTGGGATGCAACCTTTATAGTTATTGCAATACGGCCCATCAAAATTAACACTTTCTTCCACCTATCACGTACACGTAGATAACGTCAACAAAATAGGCACATATGGTCAGCTTTAGTGAAGAAAAAAAACTCACAAAAAATCCAAATATTGAACATGAAGAAGTGAATATGCAAAACCACAGCACATTATTGTTAACCCACTTTCACTCTTTCATATTGTACACTTTGGTTAAGAAATAAAAAACACTAATACACTAATACACAATTCATTACAATCAACCACAAATCCAAACCCATTACCGTTGTGCCAGAAAAACAAGTATTGCACGGAATAAATTGGGCCTTTTAGACACTGCAGCTGAAAAATAAATTAAAATAAATTAAAAAAACAACAGTGCACAAATCAGAGTCAACAACCGGGCATAGGCGAGAAGAAAATAAAATGAGCAAACAACTAAGATAACCTCATCCCCGTCGCGAACTACCTTTTTTCTTTGGTGGAGAATGGGCTGTTCGAATCGTTTCTAGATCTGACAAAGTATTTTCAATTATTGTCGTCAAGTATATTGTGGCGTTGTTAGTAGGTGGCACGTAATGTAAATTAGGCGTTGACTGGGGATATTTCTTTCATGAATTATTACTTTTAAGGACATTCTAGACATTTTCACTTGAGGTACTGTGCAGATGGCATTCAATCTCACCTCCTAGCCAAGATTAATTAGTCCCCGGAAACCGCGATTAAACAACTGTGCAACGCGGGCCTTGTCCAGTCGTCCGGGCCGTAAACTGGGAAAACAAACGCCCGATTAAGGCAGATTATGACCTCAATCCTGTCCGGTCTTGGGTAACAAACGTGTCCTTATTTGTCTTTTTAATTTATAAAATAAAATATATATGACGGACATTCTATATATATACAAAATAAAGTTCAATAAATTACGATCATATAAACATTTATGTCAAAATAGTTTGGGGCATTTATTTTTATTTTTAACATTATTATTATTTAAATAATTGTTCACGTACCATTATAATTTGTTGTGCAAGATAATTTCAGGCTCATGCATTAACTTTAAGTTTATGTACGTCCAACTTTTGGTATACAAGGCCAATGGACCCAACCCGACAGGCCGACGGACCATAACAAAAAAGAGGAATCAGAACAAGCCCAAGTGGATAGCTGAGCCTGGCCCGCTAAGTCAGCAGGCCGACCCAGCTTGATGGCCACTTCTACCTTTACCTCTATATAGTATATACAAATAATTATTTACAACTAGAATTATTGTTATATTTAGGCATGTTTGTAGTAAAATTAGTTGATAAGCCACCTCCAGACTCCATTACAACAACAGAAGCACAACTCTTTCATACAATTTTACATCTCTACCATCATCCAAGTTAAATCTTATTTGAAGAGAAACCTGGATAAACCAAATACACCACAACAAACCGAGTTTTATTGTCAAAAGAACACGTTTGGAACTTATTATGCAACGAAACGTGCGACCCGCTACAAATTAAGCAGCAGCATCGGCAGCACACAACACCGTATTGACGACAAATAAAGGATCTCCCACTTTAATGCTCTTTCCCTTTCCTTTACTGAGGGAGTCCTTACAAACTATGTTCTGTCCAAAATACACCTGAAATCCATCATAAGCTCCGTTCATGTTCACAAACAAGATTCTATTTCTGAATTTGCTGCTAAGGAACGAAAATGCTATTACACTAGCATTTACCTTCCCCTGAGGCTTTTGCTTGTCTGGACGCAATACTCTATCAGAACGAAAGCTCGTCAGAGTTTGAGTCGGCTCAGATCCGCCAACTGCAGTTTCTTGATCAATTGTGGGTACCTGAATATTATATAACAATTTTCAAATAGATGACAAGATATGAATAGAGTTTTCCCCAAGTGTTGATCGACGAAAAAAGACTATTACCTTGCAACGGCTGCATAATTTAACACCATTGAAGGTTGACCTGTTTATCCTCATCTCTGTCCACAGATCTTCGGAAAATGGTTCACATCCATCTACCACGATACTGCAGACAACAGCAATTTTTACATATACATATGCTTTCATAAATAAGCATCCCCACAAAAAGTAAGGAAGATAAAGTTTAGACTTTAAACAACCTATTTGTTAGGTTGAATGTTAGTCCTAAAATAGTATGACATAAAGAATTTATCTAAATGTGCATTTACTGGAAGTCCACTTAGACATGGTGCATCTGTGATAATATTGACGTCAATATATGAACTCACAGTCATGCAATGATGCGAATGAAGTTGGGTTTACTTGTACATACTTGGGTCTAAAACGGTTGACAGGGATAGATTCTTGGAGAAGAGCGTTTAAGGCATTCAACGATCCCTGGTAAAGATGAACCATGCAAATCGACATCATTTCCATTGAAAC